TTGATGAATCTTTTTATTATATAATTATCTTTAGTAACTTATAGTATAGCAAATTTGTTTATTGAAATATACTGTATTTATACAAAATCATAAAAAAAAAAAATCGAAAATTTGCCTTTTTTAATACGTAATACTTTGAGTAGGCATTAAAAAAAAAAATAAAAGGTTTAATACGATCAGGGATTGTAAAAAAATGCAACACAAATTGAAATCAGAGGTCAAAAATTTATTAATATTTGCTGACAATGCTTTAATAATAAAATGATGTTAATTTATCAACATAGCCAAACCTTTGAAATTGTTTGAGAACTGACTCACAGAAGACCTGTTAACACCAAATGTTTAGCAATTACACCAAAAAACGATGAATTTACCAAAAACCCTACAAAAAATGATGAGGAGCCCTAAATGAACTTACCGAAAACAACGAAGAGCCTACAAAAAACTGAGAAAAAATGATGATGAAAACTACGAAAAAATACAACTTAATAGAAAAAAATCTACCAAATCACCAAAGTAACGAGAAATCCACACAACTTCAAAATAGTTCTGAGGCTTTAATGACAAAGAGCCCACAAAAAAATAAGAAAAAATGACAATAAAAACTATGAAGAAAATACAAAAGAAAATAAAAAAAACTTACCAAATTACCAAAGTAACGATAAATCTACGCAACTTCAAGACAATTCTGAAGCTCCAACAATGAAGAGCCTACAAAAAAATAAAAAAAAACCGATGACAAAAATTATGAAAAAAATACAAAAAAAACCTACTGAATCACCAAAGTAATGAAAGTAATGAGAAATCTAAATGACTTCAAGACAGTTCTGAGGCTCCAACAACGAAAAGCTCACAAAAAAAATGACAATGAAAACTATGAAGAAGATACGAAAGAAAATAGAAAAAAACCTACCAAATTACCAAAGTAACGAGAAATCTACACGTCAAGACAGTTCTGAAACTTCAACTATGGTTCTAACGATAGCTCCAACAACAGCTCCAACAATGACTTTAACGATAGCTCCAATGACAGCTCTAAAAAAAATATACAGTATTTGTGTTAAAAAAAATAGATATAAAAAAAAAAAAAACAATTATTTATAAGATCACCAATCTCTAAGATGATTGGTTGATCATATAAGAGTCGCATAGCAACGGGTCTCCATTGTATTTTTGTCTATTTTTTAAATCTTTTCAAAACTTTTTAAATTTATAAAAACTTATCTTATTAAAAATGTCTGCCAACAAATACTCATTTTGCCTATATATTTTTGCTAATAGCAATAGTTTATCTAAATATATGATTTTATATTTTAAAAAAATGCTGAAGTGAATGTACAAGAAGTTTCAATCAATACTGTACAAGTTTGTACTAATTTAAAATCAATTAAATTAACTAAACAAAAACAGAAAATTTATATTAATAGTAATAAATATTATTCAAATAGTAATATTTTAACTAAAACTATATTATTTAAAAATATTAAATTCCACAATGTTGTGAACTGCAGTAAATCTAATAAAATCAATTTTAATATTGATTTAAATAGCAGTTATGCTATAGTTACACTTGGGCACCTTAGAGTAGCCAAGTGAAGCTTTGTTATAGAGTCAGTAGAGGTATAGTTTCTAGAAGTTTCTATATTAATAAAACCTTGTATGTCTTGATAAAAAAAGACACTTAACTACTAAAAATTAATAAAGTAGTTGTCATTTAAAAAAAAAAAAAATAGCAGTTATGCTGGTCTTTCGGGTGTATCTAATATAGTTAATATTTTTGATGAATTTGCATTTAATACAATTGAATTAGATGATTCTAACAATAAATTAAACTCTTTTGAACTTAATTACACTTCTGAACATGAATCTACTTTGTATAAAAATCAGGAATTTATTAATATCTTTTTGAATAATTCTGCTTATACTGATGATATTCAAACCTCTTTATCAGATTGTTATGAAACAGGTTTTCATAAATTAGCATAGCATAGCACATAATTTAGATTCTATATTTTATATTATTTAGTTTATATTTATTAACTTGTATTTTGTATTAGATATTTA